AGCGCCCCGCGCGTTCCCCGGTCGGCAGCGCGGGTCCTCCGCGCCAGCCCGGGGTGAGCGTCCTCGGCCCGGTGGGGCCGGCATCTCTCCCGGACGCATTGCTTCTCCTCTCCCCTTTCCCTCTGGGCCGGGGCTTCCGGCGCGCGGAGCCGCCCCCCTTCCCTGGAGCCGCAGGACCGGGAACCGGAGAGTCAAGCCCACCGGCGAGCCGCTCACCCTTCCGGGTTAGCTTTGTCCCCCTGACAGGTAGCTTACCTGCAGCTCGCGGTGCGGTGAAGTTTTCTACTTCTCAACGGTGAGGGATCATTTCTTCCACCTGTAAGGAACTGGTCCCTTATCAGCTGCGCGCAGGCACTTAGCCCGTGAAAAGGAGACGATCCGTAAACGGGAAAGCCATCGCCTGCTCGCCATCACTCAGTTCCTTAACTAGAAATCGTTCTTGTAACAGTTATTACAACTTTACAACTTCAGTTCATAGAGCTACCTGAAACAAAATATCCTGTAGCGGGTAAATAAGGATTGAGTACGTAAAACGTTCGTCTTTAAATGCACATCTGTAAGAGTCTTGCATCTGATAAACAAGTCTAGACCGTGACTTAACTTTGGACATAAGACAAACTCAGCTATTCATCAGTTTCAGACCTTCTCCTGAATTTTTCTGGTTTAGGGCCTTGATAAAACAAATATGTTTCCTCTCGTACAACGATGCTGCTTCCACACACCTTTCAAAGTAAGTTTCTGAAGCCTTCTTTGCTGTCTATATTTCTTTAAAAGTAAAGTAGCAAAAGGTATGACTTGGAGCTTGGGGGGGGGTGGGAAGTGACTTACAAGTTTGAGTAGCCGCATGTTTGTCACTCAGCTTTTCTGAGAGAATTCCTAGTTTCTACAGCAGCTTTTAGCCAAAGCTAAGATACTTCTTTTATAAAACAAATGTTATTGTCTAAAGGTCTTTTTTCCTCTCTCTCTTTGGTAGAGTGGTGAGGGGATAGTTGCTAGTTTCTGGGGTGACCTCGTCCTACTTCCGTCATAATTTTGTATTCTACTCTGAAAAGGACTGATACATCTTAACTTAAAACTGCCTGAAGAATGTACCTGTGGGTGGAAGGATGGAAGGTGGACATACAAACCTTTGAGTGTGAAGTAAGAGAGTGAGTTAAAGAGTAAAAGCGTTACTCACTTTGAGTAAGCTTTGCTTACTCACTACGAAGAGAGCCTAGTTGCTCTTCATCAGCTAGCTTGTGAAAGCTGTGTCAGTTAGCTTAATCAGTTAAGTTAAAAGCACCTGAAAACTGAGAGGAAGGGCAGCTGTCACGTGACCTGCCTTGGAAAACTACTTGGTACAGTATTTCATAGGTAGTTTAGGTAACTGTAGATCCGTAAGCCTACATGGTAAGGTGTTCAGAACAAGTTTTATAATTGCAGCTCCAGAAGTTAATTGGTCCCAGACTACTACTGTATGGAAAGAATAAGACAACTTGCTCTTCTCTCGGCCTCCGTCTGCAGAGAGACGTGTGTCTTCTCTCAAGATCTCCAAGCCTCAACCCAGCCTCAGTATATGCAACCAAGCTCCAGGCTTTTCACACCTCTCTCTCCTTCTTCAAGAAGAAAACCCCCAAGGAATCTGAGACGAAAGACTCGGGCACATTGCAACAAAGCATGAAATCACTAAAGGATTCTCCAAAGCCAGCCCTTTACTTAAGCCTTGCAGGGCTAATTCCATTTGTTTTTGTGCCGCTGTCAATGGCCGTCCAAGGGACCTACTACCCAGAGCTGGCGTTTGCTCAGATTACATATGGTGCCGTAACACTCTCTTTCCTAGGAGGAATGAGGTGGGGGTTTGCTCTCCCGGAAAACAGCCCGGCCAAGCCAGACTGGCTGAACCTGGCTAACAGTACAGTTCCTCCTGTACTTGCCTGGCAAGCCTTACTTTTTAAAGATACCACTCATGGTGCAATAATGCTAGTAATGGCCTTAGGGATAGCACTACATTATGACGTTTCCCTCCTTCCTACTTACCCTAGGTGGTTTAAAGTACTGAGGGTAGCGGGAACAGTGGTGATGGTATTATCGCTATTGGCTACTGCAGCGTTGAAGGCTGTTTCGGAGGAGCAGCTAAGTGACAGCAGAAATAAATGGCAGAACACAAAATAGTAAATCAATAGCAAAAAGCTATTTATCTGCCAATGAGGTATGCGTATTGAGTTCCAGGGGAAATAAAGACTTACTTGTGCTTTTAAGTCATAAGATGGCAGTGATCAAGATGCTTATTCTCAAAGTAAACAACTTAGCAAGTTTAATAGGGAAGGATTGTAAATACCATTGGCTTCCAAGGCAGGCATGACTCTGTCCTTATCTGTAGAAGAAAGTATCACTCTTGAATGAGGTGTTACTGTCATATGAATTTAAAATGGAGATTCAAATGACATGGGTATGAATTGCTCTATGCTGAATTATTAAAGTATCTGGTTTAACTATAATGCGTGACAATGTTCTGTGGTGGGGAGAACAACCGTGTAGTCATAAACAGTAACAAGGTGAGAGCAGTTCTTCTAGTTTAGTGTTTAGAGAAGCAGCAGAGAATTATGTAAAAGTACATACATGTTCAATTCCTATGTTGTGGAAATGCAAAAAAAGATAAAACTCTTCTCTGTCTTATTTCAACTGAGAAGATGCTGAGAATGCTATGATGTGATTAAGTGCTAGTCAGGTAAGAATGGATAGATAGGCAAGGTTTGTTTGCAGTGGCAAAACCAAGGTCAGCGCTCACCTAAAATATGTCACCCAGCTGCTGCGATGGAGTGGGGAAAGCTGGAAGGGGAAGCTTTGCATCCTCGACAAGGTGCCGTAAGAGACAGAAGGTTAGCTTCCTACTCAGGCTTACTTAAATAAAGAGAGATACCTTGGCAATCTGTTCCTAGGTTTTGTTTGGACTTAGGGCTGCCTAGCCAAGGAAGCTGCATGCAACATAGCCATAAAGATCTGTCATACTCCTAAATTAAAGTACTATCAAACGATTATATGACACAAGGACTCCATCGCTGGCACTAGGGGATCAGATAATGGGATTGAAAGTAGTTTGTGTCTTCTCCCTCCTTAAAACTCGTTTTATTTGAGCACCCGGGGCAGGTACAAATGGACTTGTAGCCTGCAAACCCTCCATGATGGGCCAATTATTGAAAATACTGCAGGAGCATATGCTCTTTGTACTTAAGTCTTCGTAACACATCATTTAGGGGAAGAAGATACAACGTAAGTCACATAGATTTTTCTTTTCAGCTACCTCAAGAAACCTACGAAATTATTATGTGGGCATATTCACTATAGGCTTTTAAGTATTTTTTAAGTACAGTATAAGATGCAAGAAGAAAGCTGAAAAGGGACATCCACACACATTCTTAGGACTGATTTAGATAATCCTCATAGTTCTCTTACAGCACTGTTCTTCATTGTTGTACTATACAGAATAAAGCATGTACTGTCACTTAAAATTTGTTCTTTCTGCAAAGAACAGGTGGAAACCTGCCTATCCTGAAGATAGAGCCATCATCTTGTATATTGCTGAAACAGAGGAGCCTCTAACTTTCGTAACCTGTTAACCTTTACATGTTAACAGCATCATACATCTGAAACGACGATGTATTTCAGTGCTCTCTGAATAAAGTAAAATTGAGTTTGTAAATGAAAACAGTTTTTGTATTCTTTCTTACTTAGACATGATGTTTTTTAAGATGGGTCCAGAGAAGAGTACCG